ACAGGCCTGGGCATGTAGGAAATGTGTGGGGGATGAGTTGACTGCAGTGGGGCACATTCCCCTCAACATGGCACAACTGTGTAGAAAGAAGTGTTCTGAGTGGGTAACCGAGGCACAAGACAGAGGGATGTGAAAGGGTCAACACTGAGAATAGGGTCTCTGGGATGTCAACATCAACTGTAGAGAGGATCAACTCACCTACTTCCTTTCTAGTCTTAGATCTGAAAATATTTTCTTTGAAGACTGGACACATTAGACATTTTTCAGTATATTTCACCTCTTTTCTCCTTCATTCTAGGGGACAGTTCTGGATATTCTAAGTCTACAATGTTCACCCCTCACAATGCTGCTAATCTCTCCCAATTTCTAACACTGCTCACTTTCATCTGAACAATTCTAGGTTTTAGGGACCTGATGATGATGACAGTGATGCTAGTGATGATGGTGATGATGATGATAGAAGCTACCATTTTCTAAGCAGCTATCCAGGCACTAAACTAGTGCTTTACAGCATTACCTAGTTTAATCCTTACAACAACCCTCCAAGGAAGGTATTTCTAGAGAAAACCAAGTTCAGATATCCAAGGTCATTTAGCTGAAAGAAACAGGATTCAAATCTCAGTCTGTCTGACTCCTAAATCCAAGCTCAGCCACTACAATACCCAGCCTTCCACTACTCCATTTGCTCTGCTGATCACTTATGTATCTTAAAACGCAGCCTCTATATCTTGTATCCACTACAAAGCTTTTATTTTTAAGAATACGGATGTATATTCCAAATTTTGCTCTCCAAATTTCTCGAGAGCTGTGAACATTAAGACAATATGTTCATGTCTGGGGGCAGAGAAATGACTCCACTTTAAAACTATGGTTTTTAGTTTAAATGTGTATTAACATACATTTTTAAGAAAAAAAAGCCAGGCCTCTTTAGAAGACCCTGGAAGAGGCTGGGGCTTAAAATTAGAGGAGACTGATGAAGTAGATAATTAACTCTCACACAAATATTAGCTCCAATGAGAAGAATCTAGTGCTCGGAAGGGGGGAATCCTAATTGGAAAAAGATTATCCTGGGAATGGTAAACACCATGTAATCTCTCTCCTAGGTAAAACAAAACCACCAAAAGTAGAAAACAACTCAATCTCTTGCAAAAAGGGTAGAAAGGCTCTCCTAGGGATAGACTTTCCTAGGCCTGGAAAATAAAGTCAAAGGATGTTATTTGGTTTAGGATTCGAATACCAGCAGGAAATGCCTACTATGGCAGTAAAAGTAAAAGAAGAAGAAAAAAAAAAAGTCAAACCCCAGCTCTATTCAACAGAACAAACAAAATAGGACTGACTGGGAAAATGGATACATAAGACATAGTGGATGCACACTGTGGAATATAATGCATTAATTAAAAGGAAAGAACTAGATTTACACACCGCAATAGGAATAGATCTTAAAAACATTATTCTAAGTTTTCATGGCAAAACAAAACAAAAAGAATGGTATCTATAGCACAGATTTTAATTTATCTAAGTTAAAACGTGAAGTAATATACAACGTGAAAAAACATACAAGCACATTAGAATGAATAGAATACAGAAGAGAATGGAAGTGGGCAATAGGAATAAACACACAGAAATAACACAAAAGTGGGGCTTTGTATGGACTAGTGATGCTAGTGTGCCATGACTGGAAATATAACTCAGTCTCCTGTACCCAGATTCCCGTCCTGAAAGAACACGATTGACAACAATGTAATTTATTAAGAAAGATTCTTAATTTGTACCCATGTTTGCATTACTCCATTATAGCTTTATAGTACAGAAATAATGGCATATGAAATTAAATATAAATTATCCTAAAACATTTGAGTGCTACTTGAAAACTTAGTTTTCTTAAATGTATTTGACCTTCAGTCATCCTACCTCCTGACCACCCCTAGCAAATTTTATTGGCTCCCTTAGTTTGTTCTGGAAACCTCTTCCCCAAAGATAATGAAAGATAAGTGTCAAAGCCAAATTATCATAGATCATAAATCTGCAGGTTGCAAATTGTTTTAATAAAGGGGAAGTACTAAGTTTTTCTGCAAATGCATTCCTAATGTTATACTTAAAATTTTAAGAGTACTGTCATCCAATCCAGACATAAATTTTAAGAGTACTGTCATCCAATCCAGACATAAATTTTAAGAAAGGCATTTAAAAAGCTGAGACTATCCAGGGGACAATGATCAAGATGACACAGTCAAAATCATCTCACACAAAAAAATAGTTGGAGCGGGGCCTCTAGTGGAATACTACTAGGCTTTATGCTGTTAAACATTTTTATAACAATATTCCAACGAATCTCTGAGCACCTAATTGTATGAAAGGTACTCTGTACGGTGTTAGAACAGTGCTGTCCAACAGAAATATAATGCAACCTATGTAAATTACATATGTAATTTTAAATTTTCTAGTAGCCATGTTAAAAAATAATAAAAAATAGGCGACATTAATTTTAAGAACACATTTCATTTCATCCATATATCTAAAATATTATCATTTCAACATGTAATCAATATAAAAATTATTAATCACGTATTTTACATTCTTTTTGGTATATCAGTGCATACACTTACAGCACATCTGTTCAGTCTAGCCACATTTCAAGTGCTAATAAACCACATGTGGCTTGTGGCTACTATACAGGACAGCACAGTGTTAAAGATACAAAAGTAAAACATACACACACAGAGTCCATGTGTCAAAAAACACATGATATATTGAGGGCCATAAACTCTATAGCAGGTTTTCAGCCTTTTTCCCACAAAGACCCAGAAGGGCTGATCGACAATTCCAGCCTTTTCTTTTGTTCTTGAAAGCAAACTGAAATACAAAATGAGTGAGATCACCTCAAAGCTGTTTTAATGTATAGAAAGTTTCAGTATCTTAATTACAGATTACTTTGGACACACCTCCTATCTGACAAAGCACCATGGTTCTCCATCGCCCTCCAGATTTGCCCTGGACACAGGAGCTGGCAGCAATTGGCTGATTAATAATCACTAGCAAAAAGGGAAGTCTCATGTATATGTATAAACATTCAATTTAAAATAAATCTGTTTTACAAACGAGTCTCCAGCAAATGTCACTACAGCAAGGAAACCAGGAATCCATGTTTATTCCTTTCTTGCTGAAAATTTACAAATTGTGTTTATGAGTAAATTAATTGCATCATTACTTCCAGAAAAAAAAAAAAAAAAAGCACATGGAATAAACTTTGTAGATCCTCCCCAGATTTTGAAAATAGAGAAATAAGATTGTCCCCTAAGAATAACCCTACAAAATCAATACACAATGATCCAGATCAGAGATTAGCAAAGTGAACTGAAAGCAGCTCCTATCACCATCTTCCTCAGCAAAACCTCCCAGGGAACAGAAGCAATTTGAAAAGCAGTCCCACCCACAATTCTGATTCACCTCCCTCTCCCTCTCCCACCACCACCCACTTCAGTGCCTCACAGAGACCAAATGGCTCAGACGCCAGGAAGATGGAGAGTAACCAGCTGAAACTATAAACATCTCCAAAGCAAGAACCCTGTCAATTAGCAGCAGGGCCCACCCCACAGAAGCAGCCAAGAGGAGAGGTGAGAGAGAGTTGGCAGTGCCCATATATAAACACTGTCTGCTTGGAGGTACCCTGGCTTGGGAACTCAAGAATCAAATCCCAGACACAGTGGTCCTACTGTGGGAGGCTTATGACATTAACCATCATGGTTATCCAACTGGCTCCCTGGACTTAACCTTGGTCAATGATTAGCAAGCAAACTTTTGATCATAATTTAGCACCCCAGGCTGATATGCCTACAAGAGAAAAACGTGTGCTTATCAAAAATGCACGTATTCAGTTCACTTGGTAATTATCTTTTTTACTATACGTGGATAACACCACTATTCTTGGTTCTAGACAGTGTCTCGTGATTTGTAATTAACAACAGTCAGTCCCTTGGAGCTCAATCTACTCTGGGGACACTTAACAACCGAACTTTTCATCCTGCAAGGCAAAAACCAAATTTTCCTGGGCAAGTGCTTGCTGGGTCCTTGGACTTTAATGAGGATTCTATCAGCAGCCCTCTGATCTCCCCAGGAACCTTCCTCTGACTCAAGGTGTGTCTTCTGTAAACTGCAATGAATCTTTATATAAACTGGCCATTTTCCTGTCCTGAAACAGGAAAGATTTACTGACAATTTAGCTACATGCATTTCTACCCTCTCCTTGCCTGGAGACACTTCAATAGCCCCTTAATTCCAAGGTTTTGAAGCTATGACACGTTATCATTACATCCCTGATTGTATGACAGCTTTCCTTCCCTAAGAGTTATGTGTGAGATGTTTTTCTCTTTTCAGTGGGAGTATATTAAAATAAAAGTTATTTTTTTCCAGAATTTCTCAAGGTCCCTGGAAGTGACACAAACCAAAATTGTGGACCACAGTGTTATAATGGATCAAAATGCTAACTTTTAATCTCAGTGAATGCTAAATGTACTTTTTTTATGTCTGAAATATTTCATTTTTCTAAATGTGGCCTTTTGAGTGGCTTAATGCAGCACTTTGAACATAGTAAGTCTGGAAAAAATTTTTCTAAAAAAAATAAGATTGAGTGAATGCATATAAATCCTCACCAGAGATTCTCTTTAATATATTTGAGATAAGCAACTGAAGTACACCATTGATAACAATATTAACTATAACAATTATAACTATATTAATGTAGCCCCTTATTTTTCCTTACTCGTAAGTAGTAACAGAGTCTTTAAGAGAGAAAGCTAGCACAGGGATGTAAACAAATCCTCTTTCTTCTATGCACTACGTGACTTGGATGTCCTATATACTCCCCCAAGATTTTGGATTAGGAAAATCAATACAATATGAAAGTTTCATTTTTGTAAATTCCCTCAACAATTAAGGATTTTAAAATAAAATGTCAAACAGGTACCCAATGAGAACACGTGAACTGGTACCAGGGCCAATACCTTGGGCTGCAGCATCCGGGTGGTATTCAGGCTCCTCTTCCGGAGGGCTCTGCAGGAAGTAGAGCTGCTCGGGCAGCATGTTGGCAATCTTCTCCTTCCCAAGGACGTGGGTACTCAGAAGTGGGCTGACACTCCGCTTCACTTTCTCTCTCCTTTCATGGGCCATTATTTTTTTGGTCCGAGCCTTGATGTTTTCCCAGCACTTCTTCAGCTGTTTGAAATCCCGCAGTGATACGCCTGGCTGAGAGTTGTATTCGTGGGCAAGTGCTTGCCAGGTACGCTGCTTGAGTGCAATAGTTCGCGCATCACTTTTTTTACATTCAAGCACATATTTGTACTTTTCCACTAAAGCCAGCAAGATGCTCTTTTCCAATTCTGAGAAGTATTTGGCAGGTTTTACAATTTCGTTGTTTTGCATTTTCCACTATATTTCTCCTGGCTGTTAGCTAACCTGTGAAAGGAAGTTTGAAACAATAATTACCAACTCCAGCAACCAACGTGTCATCAAGTCACGTGTTTAATCCCTGATTTGATTCCCTTGTTTGAAATACAGTACCTTCTTTTCTAATGATGCTGAATAATGATATTCTCAGGAAAATATTCCCAAATATGGGGCTTTACTTCAAAGTAGATTTTCAAGAAGGTCCTTTGTTCTAGGTCTTGGCCATATTAGCATCTAGTATATTAACAACTCAAAAAAGAAAAAGTTGAACATGTATGTGGAACTCTCATCTCTTAATTTATTTCTGCTTAATGTTAGGGAACTAAGTATTCCCCAAATTCTTAATGTTAGGCAGCTTTTTAACTAAACAGCTTTCTCAAAGTTTTGTCTCAGGTGAAGACAAGAGATGTCACTGTGTCATTAAATATAACAGGTAATGCAAACATATCAAGATTTTAGTATCATCAAGAAAAGATCTGGCATTTCCATCGGTATTTGTAACCTTGGACAGGTCATGCTCCTTTCTGGACCTGTTTCTACATCTTTGAAATGAGGGGTTAGAGTCTGTGATTCCTAAGGTCTCAAGGGCACTTTTAAAAGTGAAAAATTCTATGTAAATAAATCATATAATTTCAGAGGTGAAAGGATCTGGCACATAGAGGTTGAGCCCTATGGAGCTCCCTGCTACTCTGCACACAGGGGGTTGTCATAAGTCAAAATCAACTCCACAGCAAGTGGTTGTTTTTTGTTTTTGTTTTAGTATTCACATACTATGCCTGGGGAGAGGTAACTGTTAGCCTGAGACTGGAGGTGATGAGAGTGTAGGTTTTACGCAAGGGCAGTGGAACCTAATTAGTGTTTCCCACTACCCACCGCTTCACCACAAAAGTTAAAGCTAGAATGAAGTACTAGTGTGATCAGCATCTCCACCTATCAGGTACCTGCTTCCCATTCATACTGGGGACATGAAGTATCAGAGATCAAGAGACTTAGAAATGCAGAAAGGAAATTTATCTTTGGGGACTTGTCCCTGCATCCCTAAATTCCTATGCCTGTGCTTCAACTACCCTCATGCTGGTGATGTCCATCCAATGACACTTAAGCCAGGCCCCTTCTTCTCCAAAGTTCTAAAATGAATTTTTCACCTTCATCAACACTCCTATTCCCCATGAATCAACATTCCCCAACCTGAAAGTTATTAACCCATGTCCCCTACGATACTATCTCTTCTGTATTATCTCTATCTGCCAAGATGTCTGTGTCCAACTTTACTTTCTGTAGTTTTTATTATGAAATCAATAGGCACACTAAATATTCTTAAACTACACAGTCCCTAGAGTAGATTCTGATCCGATCCCCTGACCCCACTCCTCTGTCCCAGTTGTCGTCGCTATGCCTACCTTCTCCCCATACTTCCATTCTTTTTAAGAGTAACTGCTATAAGGACTGAGAAATACGACTCATGAATGAAAAATGAGTTGTTTCCCATTATGTCCTATTATACATAATGCCATAATACATATACATCTTTCTAAATAAACCTTTCTTTTTCTATCTTTGATTATTTCATCAAGATAAATTCCAAGAAGAGGAACAGTTGCCACAAAAGGTGAAAACACTTTTGTTACATCATCAGCCTGCTCTCCAGAAATGGTGTAGTAACTCACATTCCTACTACAGCATATGAGCATGCCCATTTACACTTCACTTACTCTCGGCTGTTGACGTATTTTTTTACTCTATGCCAACTGTGGAGGTGCAAAATGTCACTTCATTGTTTAACGATATATGAATTCTAGATTTCAGGCAAATAATCTATACTCTGAATAAAGCCTCTGTGATACTAGGTAGAAGTAAAATTACATATGGTAATTAATTCCAAGCAATTTAAGAATTCTTCCTCACAATGTGTGCAGTACCACTAGCTGCCACAAGGTGGTGGTGGACGCATGGGGAGGTTCTTAACAAAGAGGATCTTGCCCTATGTGTGGCTAGTTGGGTCTCAAAGGAATACAGCAATAACAACAATAGCAGATAACTTTTATTCAGCTCTTACTGTGGGCCAGGCACTATATTAAGAGCTTAATCTGCACTATATCATTTAGTCCTTGCAAAAACAACCCCTGAATGCATCATTTATTACACTTCAGTATTTTCTGTTAAAAAAAAAAAAAAGCTTTATTAAAATACCAGAAGAAATTATACAACTGCTCTCAAAAGCAAATGCTCAGAATTACCAACACCTGGGGACCATTAATAGCCTATTAACTAAACTGTTATTTAATCACTAGCTAAGTAAATCCAGAGTTACTAATTTACTTTGCTTAATTTCCTAGAACAGCAGGCCTCCCTGGGCCATGTGGTTGCATTCTGCAAGCCTATAAAGGAATTCTGTTAAGAGATGATGTACTCCAAAGGTCTCCCATGGATTCTCAACAACCTCATGAAGCAGGTTGTTTATCCCCATTAACCAATTATAATTCCCATTTCCCAGATAAGAAAACTGAGACTCAGTGTACTGCTTACAGTCACACATAAAGGAAGTAGCAGAACCAGAATTCCAACCCAGGTCTGACTCTAATGCCCATGCTCCTTTCTGCTCTGCTTTGCTCTCTTCTTTCAGACCTGGGGACAGCCTCTAGCTCCCCAGCTCAAGTTACATGTCAATTAGCAATCCATTGTCAGTTATTTACCAGAGCAAGAAAAGGCCTTTGGACAGAGCAACTAGGTGGAGCTGTGCCCTCATTAAGGAGCTTTGGTGGTATAGTGGTTAAGCACTGGACTGCTAACCTAAACGGTGGCGGTTTGAACCCACCTTCTATTCTGCGGGAGAAAGATGTGGTAGTCCGCTTCCACAAACCTTGGAAACCCTATAGGGCAGTTTTACTCTGTCTTACAGGGTTGCTACAAGTCAGAATCAACTCAATGGCAATGGGTTTGAGTCGGAATTGACTAGACGGCAACAGGTTTTGTTTGATTGGGTGGTGCAAACAGTTTAATGCATCGGAAAGGTTGGAGGTTCCAGTCTACCCAAAGGTACCTGGGAAGAAAGACCTGGCAATCCACTTCTGAAAAATCAGCTACTGAAAACCCTACAGAGCACAGTTCTACTGTGACACAGATGGCGTCACCATGAGTCAGAGGCAACCTGATGACAACCGGTGCCTGCTCTTGTTCATTTGTTGGCTATTCCCCTGCTTCACCTGCCTCCATCATCACCTCCCTCTATCTCTCCAAGATGAGGGCCCACAACCCTCCCCAACCCAGGTATACCTCTCCTACTCTAACCAGAATTCTGAAATAATTTCCACTGCTGAGCTGATAAGAAATGTATGTTTGAAAAGTAACATTTGGAGATTTCAGGTGGGCCACGCCTCAGGGAAATGCTGACATTCTGCTTCAGCACCTGAATGACAGTCCTAAATAAGCAAGCTTCCCAAAGTAAAAGATCTCCCCAGCAAAGCTTATTAATAGAAACTTCCAGGTACATAGTGAGGGTAACAGTGCCCAGGGCAATCTCTAAATTGTGCCTCCCTCCCCATTTCAAGATGAACAGACGATGATGGCAGCGAAATGCCTTCCCCACTTTGTCCGGCTGCCTCAGTCAGGTGCCTTTCATATTTGTGGCACCTCGACAATCATTCCATGACTCATCTGGTGCCCCCTTGGACTTGCACTCAGGGGCAAGTGCCCCCTGCCCCTCGCTATGTCTCTGGAAACTTCGAGGCCTGAAAGCACACTCCAGCTTAAAAATACTCAGCAATGTCCATAACAGTTACAGATGACTACATAACCAGCCTTCCCTGCTGCATCAGCTTTTACTAGAGACGGACTGGCCTTCCCTGCCCCTTACCGATCACCTTTTTGCGTGCAGTTCTGCTAGAAGGTGCACTACTCTTTCTTATGCATGCTGTAGCCCAAAACCAGCCCAGTGACCCTCACATAGTGGGCCTTCAGTAAGCATTTAATGAATGAATATTTGATATAAGTGTAAAACTGCCCTTCATTCATAGAATGAATATCACAGATGGCAAAAGAGTATACTGAAAGCTGCATTAAAGTACGCATGATCAAATGAAATAGCAAAATCCAAATGCAAGGAAAGTTCCCAGCGGGGTACGCAAAGACCCATTAAAAGCAAAACCAAAAATCAAACCCATTTCTAGTTAAGTTGATTCCAATTCTGTAAGACAGAGTAGAACTGCCCCATAGGGTTTCCAAGGCTGTAATCTTGAAAGAAGCAAACTGCTACATTGTTCTCCCACAGAGTTCCAACCACTGGGTTCCAACCACTGACTTTTCGACCAGCAGCCAAGTGCTTAACCTTTGTATCAGGGCTAAATTAGTGTCAGGAACAAGTAACACAACAAAATTCCAATACCCTAAAGGGGCAAAGAGGAAACAATACAATTTCCAAAATACTAAAATATATTGGTTAAATCACCAGGATACAATTTAAAGCACATTTAACATCCACCTTAAATAGCCTTCTAATAATTTTTTTAAGTTCACCAAGGGTCAAACTAAGTCTTAAAGTCTAAGCATGAACTAAATAGACTTGGCCAGATTTTACTTATACTGCCCGTCATGGAAAGGGAGTTCTTTGAACCAGTGCTCAGAATGGGCACCGTGACCTGAGAGCTGTGGTGCTGGGACCTTGGTGAACTACTGCGTGAAGTGAAATGAACAGACTCTGGATGCAGATAAACCTGGACTTGAACCCTGACCTCAGCATCACCTAGAGGTGTGACTTTGGGCACATCAATTACCCTTCATCTATGAATTCCTTGGGTGGCGCAAACAGTTAAGCACTTCACTACTAGCCAAAAGGTTGGCAGTTCAAATCCACCCAGAGGCACCTCAGAAGAAAGCCCTGGCGATCTGCTTCCAAAAGGTCATAGCCTTGAAAACCCTATGGAGCACAGCTTCACTCGGCACACATGGGGGCCCCATGTGTCAGACTCACCTCAACAGCAACCAACAACAGCAGCTTCATCTGTAAGATGGGGTTAATATCACCTACTCTGTCGTCTTCTATCTGCACAATAGTCCTGGAGTATGAGTAAAGAAGAAGCATAGATTGGTTGTTGTTGTTAGGTACTTTTGAGTTGGTTCCGACTCATAGTGACCCTATGTACAACAAAATGAAACACTACCCAGTCCTGCACCATCCTCACAATCGTCATGCTTGAGCCCATCGCTGCAGCCACTGTTAATCCATCTCATTGAGGGTCTTCCTCTTTTTTGCTGACCCTGTACTTTACCAAGCATGATGTTCTTCTCCAGGGACTGGTCCCTCCTGACAACATGTCCAAAGTACATGAGACGAAATCTTGCCATCCTTGCTTCTAAGGAGCATTCTGGCTGTACTACTTCCAAGACAGATTTGTTCTTCTGGCACTCCATGGTATAGTCAATATTCTTCACCAACACCATAATTCAAAGGCATTCATTCTTCTTCAGTCTTCCTTATTCATTGTTAAGCTTCGTTAAGCATAGAGTAGAGCTCCAATAAATTTTAGTTCTTCCCACTCCTCCCACCCATATTAAGCTGCCTCTAAAAGCAGAATAGTGGTCTATATACAATACATACTCAAATACTTACTGGCTCTTTTATTTCATATACACACAATTCAGCAAATATATAATGAACTCCTGCCAAAGGCTCAGTACTATTCTAGAATATGTGGGAGATGCAAAAATAAGCTGAACTCTCTATCTTGCAAAGAGCACTGGCGGGCACAAACTGATAACTGGAAGGCACACTGACACAGACCTCATAACAGACGACAGAGCGCCCTGCGAGTTCAGACAGGGAAGGAGGTTACTTCGTGAAGAAGAGGACATCTGAACTAGATCTTTAAGAATGTATAGGATATAAACAGAGTTGAAGGAGGTCATTCAGATAAATAATTGATAAGAAAGGGCCTGAGTGCTGAGTGGTGACAATGTTCATGGAAAGGAGGAGGTGCACACTGAGTCTGTGTCGATGGAAGAATTGACCAGTACGCATGTGTGCCCACACTGGAAGAGGGGATCATCAGAAAGCAGAGGCAACATGGACACATGAGGATTAACCTAGCCCTCCTCTGTGCAGGTGGGAGAAAAGATGTGGCAATCTGTTCCTGTAAAGACTACAGCCTAGGAAACCCTACGGGACAGTTCTACTCTGTCCCATTGTGTTGCTATAAGGTGGAATCAGACAGCACCTAACAAGTCTGTGTAGCCACCAGAGTATTCTTTTAGATCCTGTCCCTGCCTGTGAGAAGATCACAGTCCAAGGAAGGCATAGCATGACACAGTGTATTGCAGGACAGGTTGGTGACATGCACAATCAATGTGATAAGCACAGTGACAGAGATGTGCCCAGGGACAGTACTCCAGGATGGGGGTGGGGAGATCTAGAATAGGAACCTTAGTTGCTATTAGACTGGAGTTAAAATTAGGATTATTACTAGTACAAAGCAAGGTCACGACTTGGGAAAGACTTGAAGGATGTACATAGGTGGTTAAGCTGAAGAAAATGTGGCTCCCCTTCCCTCAAGGGCAGCCTGGCAACAAGTTATGGGTGATATGTTTGCTCTAAAGAGATGAAAGGCTATTTCCTACCCTGGTACATTGACTCTCTGTCTCCTGACTCCACATCCCCAAAATAGCCTTTCTTTGAAGTAGTATAGATCCTCCAATGTTAAAACTAAAAAAAGGACATGGGTCCAGTCCTTATAGATGAAGAGACTGAGGCTGAGAGCAAACAAAGGGGACTTCCAGGGGTCAACTGGTGAAAAACGACCTGAAAGCCAAGCTTCATCCTTTTTTTTTTTTTTAATAATTAAATCCCCACCCCCAACCTGCATCTCCTCTTTTGGAACCCTCTCCTCCTGAAGATGCCCATCTTGCTAGGTTCCCTCCAGCCTTCCCCACTAGCCCATCTAAAGAGCACTGCTCTCAACTCTGCCGCTCATTTTGTGACTTTAGGCAAGTCCCCTTTCCTCCCCATTAATTCCTCAACTCTAAATTATAAAGCTAAAGTGAGTGTTCTCTTAAGTCCCATCCAGTGCTGGCTGGCTATGTTAGTACTACCGTTTTTCAGTGGCGTCCTAGTGGTACAAATGGTTAAGCACTTGGCCGCTAACCAAAAGGCTGGCAATTGAAAGCCACCCAGCTGCTCCGCAGGAGAAAGACGCGGCAATCTGCTTCTGTAAAGAAAACCGTATGGGGCAGTTCTACTCTGTCACATGGCGTCACTATGATTCAAAATTGACTCGATGACATCTAACAACAAAATGATTTTTTGACAACGTAATTTCCACAGTTCACTGCCAAATATGCATAGATGGTATTTTCTGATTATTTCTGAGGCTAGTGGAGCTACCTCTGGTAGAAAATTGGAAATATGCTTGATGCTGAAGAGAGGATGGGGCTGGAGAGAGATGTTCTTCTTGACACCTCCACCTTCTTTTGAACAAACACTGAGAATCTACTGTGTGCTAAAGCTACAAATAAAACGTAGTTCCAAGTCCCAGGAGATCACACGCAGGTAGAGTAGACCCACGAGAATATGAAGAGATTGCAATACAGAGTAATTCTCACAAGTGCTACAGTAAGAGGTAAATACGTGGTACCCTTGGTCCAGAGAAGGTCTGAGAGCCCATGGTTGTAGCTGAAGTGGTGGGAGTGGAGGAGAGTGTACTTGGACAAGAAGCAGCCTGGGGTGGGAAACACCTACATAAGGGGACTTTCTGTATTTTAAAAGAGCTTTCTGTGGAGAATGCTTTGATAATGATTCCAAAGGAATTTCAGGGAAGCTGGGGGCATGGGGGAGAT